TCACTCTTCGCTTTCGCCTTAGGCCGTTTGGGAGGATCACCTGTAGACGATGCAGCTGCTTCATTCTCCTTCTTGGTCTTGACGGGAGCGGCAGGCTTGTCTGCATCTTCTAAGGCAGGTGTCGTCTTGTTAGAGGACAATGACAGTTTCACTGCACGTTCTCTATCTTTCAACAGTCGTTCTTGCTTTCCTCTTGCTATGTATCCTTTGATCATACCAGTTAGGTAAACATAGGTCTTCTCAGGATGCCCTTCATCAAAGGTTTTGTATCGGTTGATATCAAAGGCCATAAGCTTTGAGTGTTCAATCTTCCGGAACAATGTGTCACGCAGGGAATTGTTGGAAGGCAGATCATCATGTTTCATGTTGTATACGATGTCAAGCCACTTGTTGTAGAAGGCCTCAAGCTGGTCATCTCCATAGTAGTTGAACATATACAAATGATGGGCGTTGTAGAGAACTTCAGTATGGTCAGGTGACTTGAAGCTAATCAGTATCATTGCGAATAGTTCTCGTCCCTTGATGAAGTCCCCACTTCTCCCATACAATTGATTCTTCATGGACATGTCATACTTCACTTGCATGGACTTGTCCCCAGCATTGTCAATGACTTTCCTCAAGGCATTGGAGAGCTTGGCATCAATGGATTGGAATCTCACATCGGGTGCTTTGGCCAGGACCTCCAAGTCAGGTTGATCTGCAAGACACGGAGCTAGCCACGCTTTCCAATCTTCATAGTTTCGATCTCCACTTGCAACACAAACTTCATGAACAACACTTCCCTTCCAGGATGAAAGTTCAGTGGTCTTAGGCCAGGGTTGGAGGCTGATCTTTTCAGCTTCTCTTAGAGATACGGATGACTTGGATCTATCCCTTTCAAGGTTCTCCAACTCCTTGACATTGGTGTTGTACTCGTTCCTGAGCTTTTCGAAGGCTTCAGCTTCTGCTCGGTATTCCTGCTCTTCATCGTTGGCGCGATCTTCAGCTTGAGAGAAATTGTTCTTGTAATAATCTTTCCGATCTTCCATCTTCTTCAACTCATCTTGAAGATTTCGAACTTCATTGTTCTTCTCTTGCTTCATCTCGTCCAACTCTGCTTTCAGTTTGGCACACTTCTCTTCACATTCATTCCGAGGCATAGCATTACTGGGGTACCCATGTAATGTAATCGGTCTATTCTTTGATGAAGAAGAATGAGCTTGATTTTCCAACTTCAGGGCAGCAATAGTGCTCGACATCTCTTCTATCTCAGCGAAACGCTCATTGGCCAATTGATGCATCTCAGTCAAGTGGCTTTCAGGAATGGAATAGTCATTCGCACCTTTGATCACGAGTCTTCTGTCGTTCAACATCTTGATGGACTTACCTGCATCCCTGTGAGCACGCTCAAGAGAATCCTTTTGGGCTTCAAGTTCAGTATGAAGGCGAGCAATAGCTGTGTCCCTGTCATTGATTTCATTGTGCAAACTGTCGAACAAATCACTCGTCACATTCGGATTGTTGCTCATGTGATCGATCTTGTTCAGAGCATCTTGATATTTCTTACCAGTTTCATCGAAGTTTCGCTGGAAGACTTTGAGCAGGTCCTCAGTGTCAATGAGTTCAGTTCTGTTCTGCAAGTACAACTTGTCAACTTCAGCCTTGGATTCTTTCAAGCTGTCACGCTCACGCACGGCTTGCATATACATCTCGTATAGAGGCCCTCCATGTGGTGATCTGCTTGGTGAAGATCTTCTGGCTTGTTGACAGGAAAGTTCATGATACTGATTCTTCGATTCAGTCAGTTGTTGTTGCATTCGATCTAAAAGACTTTGCTTCATGTGTAGTTCAGAACGTAGTCCCATTATCCTCATGTCCCGCATGCCGCCTGATTCAGCTAGAGATTCTTCAGAAACCCTGTTCTCAGAAATCGCTAGTCGAGATTGTAAGTTTTCATTGTGGATCACCTGCAATCGAAGTTGCGATTCTTCTAAAGCTAAGTGATGTTCACATTCTGCATAACGGTCATGTTCAGATCTTATGTTACTACGGAACTCCTTCATGATCTCATCCCTCTTCATGTCAGCAGCATCAAGCTCAGTTTCCAGTCGTCTAACGTTCATGGACATGGTGTGCTTCATTGTCTGATTTTGATTGGCAACCTCGAGCATCTCGATCTGTAAAGCACATGTTTGATCATTGGCGTAGCCGACCGCTAGAGCTTCCTGCTTGGCATTCATCTCTGCGTTTTCCAGTTCCAGTCTAAGTTGATTGATGTGAGCATTTGCATCAGCGCCCACATGTACCATAATTGCGCTCGCTTGTCCCATTTGTTCATCGAATTCCGAACGTAGTCGTGAATATTTGAATTCCAAATGAGATGCAGCTTCATTCGACATAGTCTGATACCTTTCCAACTCTTCGATCCTGTAGGTCGCACCTTCATCTTCTTGTTGTGCAGCCTGTAATTCGAAGTTCAGCATCTGGAGTTGTTCGGTCATCGACATCATCTCTTGATGAGTGGTGCTTTCCAGGAAATTAAATTGTTGATAGGCATAAGCTGTCGTCTCGGTCAATCTTGCCTGAAGTACGGATTCTTCTTCAGTGGCCTTTTCCAGTGATGTCTTGTATTCAGCTAATTCACTCTGATAGGCAGTGAAGATGTCGCTACCACTCGATGGGGCGTTCACTTGCTGATAAGATCCTGTCCCTGATGGGGTAGCGTCCTGAATCGGTGAAGGCGGATTCGACGACGTAGTCTTTGCCTTAGTCCTTGGAGTCATCGGAGGCGACAATTGTCGTGCAGATGATCTTCTCTTTCCAGGTGTGCTGTCCCTATCTTCAATTGCTTGCATTGTCGAAATTTGTCTCCCTCTAGGAGCAACCAGAGGTCGCCTGGGTAGGCTTGTTCTCAGTTCTGAGGCATCGCTTCCACCAGTGTCGATACTCTGTGAAGAATTCGACTGCGTGCCGGCAGCTGGTGCAACGGCATGTCCAGAGAAAGAAAATGCATTATCGCTGCTATCCTGTTCAGTCATCTGTAAGGCCCGCGGCTACCCGCTCGTAGGCTCCGTAGGAGTCCTACGGCTGATAACCTGTGAATCGGGGATTGCCTGTCCGATTATGTCCTGGTACTTGGGATTGAAGCAAGTACTTCGGTGACGACTTCACTCGGATGGCGGCTTCCGCATGGCAGTTCTTTGCTCTGGTGCTGCAGTGGGTCTTGAGCCAAAGAGGCCAGTTTGATATACCCCTTTGGCATTGGATCCTAGAGTGTCGAATTATATGTGAATATACAATCGTACGTAGCCTACACTCTATTCGCATGATATGTATACGTATACGTATACGTATACGTATATGTATACGTATATGTATACGTATATGTATATGTATATATGATATGTATATGTATATGTATGTGTATGTGTATATGTATATGTATATGATATGTATATGATATGTGTATGTATATGTATACGTATATGTATATGTATACGTATATGTATATGTATACGTATATGTATATGATATGTATATGTATATGTATATGATATGTATATGTATATGTATGTGTATGTGTATATGTATATGTATGTGTATGTGTATGTATATGTATGTGTATATGTATGTGTATGTGTATGTGTATATGTATATGTATATGTATATGTATATGATATGTATATGTATCAGTATCAGTATCAGTATCAGTATATGTATATGTATATGTATGTGTATGTGTATGTGTATATGTATATGTATCAGTATATGTATATGTATATGTATATGTATGTGTATATTGTATTTTGTATATTGTATGTTGTATATTGTATATTGTATATGTATATGATGTTATGTGTATATTATATTATATCATATCATATTATATCATATCATATTATATCATACTGTATTATATATATGCATATCATATATGTATATCATATTATATTATATCATATTATATTATACTATATTATATCATGTATGTATATTATATGTTTATTTATTATATTATATTACATTATATTATATTATATCACATTATATATGTATATATATATATTATATTATATTATTATTTTATATTATAATATACTGTACTATTGGGATATGATATAGTGGGCTAGAAAATCGACAATATGACAATGTCTGGGTCTGTATCAATCAAATCCGCCAGCCTGCCGGCGCGTCTGATTGAACGGTGTTGGTCTGTATCTTGCTCTTGGTGTGCTTGTTCTATGGTTCTCTTCCTATGCATGGTTGCATCGTCTGAATCGCGTCCACCCCCCTGCCTCGCCTGTAAGTAGCTGTGGTCTGCGGCTACTTAATTGTTCAAAGTACCTGCTACCAGTACTAAAGATGTCTTCGATTACGTCTTCTTCTCTTCCTATTGCCTTCTCTGGCTGTGCATTCATTAACCCAACCAACCGCTAGAATACTGAATGTTTCCACGTGTAACCCTACATGTTTGCTGCTTTTCAATATGCTCAAGAACATTGTGACACCCCTGCTTTTATCTCAGCTAGTTTTTACACCTAGCATGCTTTTACCACCTATTAGTTTTGTACCAACCAACACTTTTGAAATCAAATTCTACCCCAATGAACGATTGCGTACACCAGTTCTGACAACGAGATTGGTTGAACCCACTAGCAGTCTTACATGAGAAACTGTTACACCACACCTGCTTTTACATCAACTATAGCTACATAAATGATTCATATCTGAGTTTACAGAAACAAGCCGTACACACCTGCTTTTACACCAACCAGTTCTCACACACAAACAAGAAGCTTTTATAAACCATCAGTATCACCCACCGGCTTTTACACCAAGGTTTCACATCAACAAGCTTCTACAACCAAAACTTCAGCAAACCCCCAGGTTTCCAAGCTACTTCGGGCGGGATTGCCGAAGGCAATAAGATAACTGGCTGGTGGTTCAACCACCAACCTGATGCGCAGTTTGGTTCAAACCAATCGAAACCCTGGATCCTACTGACCATCCCACAAAATTACTCAAAAGAGATATGAATACAGTAATTGATAGTTGATAACCTGTTTTTTGTTCGACCTCGAATTGTCCATTTTGGATTTTGCCTGCCTTTCAGTGAAAAGCTTCCCCAATTTCTGGCCATCTTTTGGGCGCCCGTTGTCTCGCCTCTGTGCCTGTGAGAGACCCTTTCTATTGCCTCGCCCACCCTCGAGCTGCAAGGCCAAGTCTGCTAAGTGAACCTGAGGGTCGCACTGTGCGCATCAATGCTGGTCGTTGTAGCAGTCGACCCAATATATCCGTTTTGCTGGGACCCAATATATCGAATATTGACCCATACTCAAAAATGTGGCTTCACGATGCAGTAAAAAGTATTGAGCATCGCCTGGCACAAACTCAAAACCTCGCCTGGCAAAGGGCCATGAGCTTTCCGCTGGGGATGATGCCATTCTCGCTCACAAGAAATTCCTCCTGGTGCTTTAGTTCCGACGTCAACTGCAGCGGGTATCTCATCAAGCACTTCACAATTCGGAATCAAAAAGGTTTCGACCATGGATGTCTTTCATGCGTTTCATGCTACTGCAAGTCACGCTGAGTCATTAACTATACCACCAAGTCCGGAGATGGCAAGACATGATCACATGACTACTCTGAATACATGTCGTACATGTCGGGTACTCGGAATTTGGCCCACCTGAACCACTAGAAATTTGTCGGCAGCCTCTGCAGAAAAAACACCGTCCATCCGGTCCATCCCCGCCTGGGGCTTTGCTGCCCACACTGTCCTCAGTATCAACTCGTCTGTTGCTTCATGTTTGGGATTAATGGATAGTACTACGAAGGCAACAGAAGACGGTTGCCTCAAACCATGAAGAGTTTGAACCTTTACCTTCTCTACTAACAATGTCCGTTTGCCGGATTTCAGTAGCCGCCAAGATTTAAAAAAATAGGACGTAGCTATTGGAACAGTTTTGAGAATCGGGTTGAACATCCATCAGTTTCCACAGCCTTCCGCAAGTGCAGCAGCAAAAAACGCTGCTGATTTCAAGCTAAGGTGGCTGCCAAGGTGTTTGTTCCAACATGGAATCAAAGATTGCCTCAGCCAGGCAAGGTGGTCGCTGCCACTGTCGGCACTGTTTGATCAGAGCCAGGCCTCATAACAACCATGGAGGCTCAGACTCCAGAAAATCAATGCCCGTTCCTGCACGGTCTTTTGATCAGCCATGTCACTTTCTAATTTCTTATTCCTAATTGTCGCTTCAGAATGCAAACAATATCATCAATATCAAACAAACTGTCCCATACCGCTCTTCGATAGCCAAACCCATCCGTAACGATGGCCGATGGCCCCAGATACCCAACTTTAGGGTACCCCAATCGATCCGGCTTGGTACCAACAATGACATGTTTCTTGGGGCCCATTGCTACCCCATTTGTGGTCGCCATACCCGGTATGTGAAAATATGTGAAAGACATCAGGAATACTGCAATGATAATCATGTGTTCATATTGCGATGATAACTTACAATCATACCAAAAAACATTACCATGGTGGCGATGATATTTTGGATATTGGGCGATATTGGTACTATTATTTCGGTTTGTCTCCGTTTGTCTGGACCAAAATCCCATGTTTTGTCGTGTTCCGTACCTGATTGGCACCTGCAAAGGTGAAAAAATGGTTATAGCACTCAAAAACTCGATCTTTCATTACACACAACAAATCCCTAGCGTCTGGCGAGAGAGCCGCTCTGCGAGGCAAAATGGCCACAAAAAAAATGATTTGCATCTTAAGGAATATTTACCAAACTACCTGTTATTTTGGTACCATAACTATAGTCCAACCGACTTTCCAACCATAAATACTTGGGCATATCAAGTTCTAGATATCAAAAAAAACAAAAAATTAGAAACCTGAAAAAATGGAAGAAACAAACATCGTCTATCTAGAATCTTAGTGGCACACTTTGTTTGATATATCTTGTTTCGTGGGTTCGATACCTCCCAGTTATATCCCATATACATATCAGCTACATATAACTAAAAATCCCAGTTCTATGTGTATATATATATATATATCATCATATGTATATATATATAGTGTGATATATATATATATACACATGTATGTATATATATATGTATATACATCTCTCTCTCTCTCTCTCTCTCTTCAAAAAAGAAATGGCCATGATTTTCCCACCGATTTTCCCACCGCACCCCGCGGTAGTCCTCAGGCAACAGCTCCACCACCCGCGCGGCAGCGGCAGCGGCCAGGACTTTGAGGGCAGCGATCACCGGCTCGGCCTGGGAAGTTCGCCCGGAAGACTGATATCTATCCATCCATCCATCCATCCATCCATCTATCTATCTATCTAATCTATGTTATCTATGTTATCTGTGTTATCTATTGTATTTTACTATATTTTATTATATGTTATTATATTTTATTATATTTTATTATATTTTATTATATTTTATTATATTTTATGATAGCATTGGATATGCAACGGATATAATATATATATATAATGGTTGTGCAATTATTGGATATAATATATATATATATAGATGTACTAGAGATATGGTCAGTGAAATATACGTGTATATATATAGTAGAGATATATATATATACTGGAGATACGGTCTTCAGATGTCTTCAGTAAAAGAAACAATGAACTTTTTGAAGGGGATGAACGAGGGGTGTGCATGTCTTGTCGTAGAAAGCCATGTGGGGAATAGAGGGATCCAACCAACAAAAGCTTGATGGGGATCCAGACACAATATCGGTCTTGACGAAAATGGGGAGCTCAGTCGCCATCGTGGGGAATGCAATGATTTCACTATGCAAAAAAAAAAAACATATGAAATCCACAATAGTATACAATATGAAATCCACAATAGTGGTAATATCTCCATTTCGATATCTCCATTTCCAGGATGCCCTGTTATACCCAAAACGTGATATCACCGCTGGAGGATCTCTGCGGACACCAAGACTCATGGAACGAACCATGCGTCGATATCATGATCTACTGCTTTTCTTGTGGCTTTAAAAAAACCTCTCCCAAAAATTAATGATCCCAATATCATATATGTAATGGATTGTAATGGTATATCTAATGGTTTATCTATGGTATATCCAACCTTTATCTATGGGCTTTCTTCCATCATTTCGAATTCTGTGTGTCATCCCTTCCACCATTGAGGGCGGGCTGGCTCTACTTTGTTGGGGGATGGGATCAAGCATTCAAAACCATAGTAATAAACCTTGAAAAAATCCACAAATAAACCATATTAGAGATTCATTCATGAAATATAGGAAGCATAAGAGTGTTCCGAACGGGGAACTCGAAACCACACAGGTAAATTTCTACCAAAAAGGAATCCTCTTTCATAGTAACCATGATTCACCAATACAAATGGGGAAAATCCCTGGTATATCCAATATTTATCCAAGGTTTATCCATGGTTTTCTATTGGTCTATACTATTACAGGATGGTGCCCGCCAGTTATAAGTTGGTCTATAACCCCATCCAAACATAATCATAAGTATCATACACTATTGATATTATAGTTATAAACCAACCTAGCTAACTATGGGGCCACATCCTGCATCCAAAAATTCCCATCAGTTTCTCAGTGCCAGGCAGGAACTGCCAGAGCCAGGCCAGCAATGCAGCGGGCGATCACCCATGCCTCGGGGTAATGGATTGTAATGGGATTTACTAGGATTTAATCGGATTTACTAGGATTTAGCAGATGTTAATGGTATTTACTAGGAGTTAGAATGATATAGAATCAACCATCTGATGTTTGGCTGTGTCCCCTGTTAGAATCGTAGTGTTTTTTGTGATCTGATGATGGAGCAGTAGATCTCCCCAAGTTTGGGGCAAACTGAAATGAAGCCATGTGGATATGGCATAAAGAATCGGCTGATCATTCCCAGCAGCATCCTAGAATTTGCGGGGGTTAAGAACTTAGAATCAATCCAAATTCCATACAATTCCATAATATCACATAATATCCATGGTGGATCTGGGACTGAAAACCAAGCCAGAAAAAGACGCAAGTTGTGTCCAAGTTGTGTCCAGTAAATCTGAAGGGTCCACGTGGCGGCACCACGACTGAGCGAAGTACTGGAATCTTCGCCTTCCCTGCATCTGCTTCCGCCAACATCCGGACAACCTGATGCACCCATTAAATCCCATTAACACATCTAAAGGAAAAATGAAGGAAATGAATGAAAAAACGATCTTATGTGAGGTTCATCTTTTTGATCTTTTTCTGAAGGGATCATCCAGGGTTAGGGACTCCAATCAAAGTGGATATCTTTTTTGGCAGTTGCTCACCACCCCAAAAATTCTGCTCGCTTTTTTTTCATCTTCATCCCATTGGGTGGAACAGGATGGAACACTAGGAAAAACAAACTGTCGACATCTGTCATGTTGTGCAGCTGGTTTTTTCCACACAACCCAGCCATGACTTCCATCGTGGTCGACGTGGTCGACGTAGTCGACCCAGCCTTTTCGGAAGTTGTCCTTGCTAATGCCGATGCCAGCAACCTGGAAGATCTGGAAGAGAGCTTGGGGGCTCTCTCCCTTCAAAAATGGGGTATCTGCCATTTTCACCAGAAATGAGATGAAATCCTGCCATTTTCCATCATTTTCCGCCAAGTCAGTTTTTTTTCGTTTGCTCCAGGAGGCAGACCCTGCAGTGGCAAGGAAGCGAAGGAGTTCGGATGCTGGAACCAATTGCTCTTCGGCTGCCTTCGCTTTTGTTCCGGCCTTAGGTCCGACTTCTCGGCGCTGCGATCAACACATCGGTTTTTGCACATTTGGGGCCCCCAAAACTGACTTTTTAACGGGGAGACTGATGATAAACAACGAGATTATTTCGAGACAAACCCATCATCATATGTCATATAATTTTATAATAAAATATTGTGCTGTTGTGCTGCACATGTTCTGTGCATCCCAATGTTTTGTTGGTTCCAGTCTCATAATTTGTTGCTGACACTTTAGCGGTGATATCCGCCAAAATCGGGACCCCAACACCTACTTCCTACACCTCAATTCATCTCCACGTACTTGCGACAGTGGCGACACTGAATCCAATTGTACATAGTGTCACACCCCTTCCTAATTGAGTAGCAGTTGGGTTGACTTTGCATGAGGCATGAGAGTGGTTTGCCAGTTGTAGAGCAGTCGAGTCTGGGTAGTATCACACTATCCAATGGCAAACACTTTCGCAGATTCCGTGCAATCATCTCTCACCAACGTCGTGTGTTGGCCATGGCGTCCACGTGTTCGAAAAAAAGTGATCTCCGAATTCCCGGCATCTGTGCCATCTGTGCTCCCATGATTTAAGGCCCTTTTTTCCGCAAACGGAGGCGTAAAATCCCACAGCTCACCAGGCCTCCTGGCGGCGGATCTCAGATTTTCCGTATCAAGCGGCGCCGCAGGTTGCCCTTCGCTTTGGTGCTGATCACACGAGTGCCAACGCCCATACCTTCCAGCAACCACGGTGCGGAATATGGCTGAAGTGGACTTGGACGACCATCAGCCAGCTGTAGATTTCGCGTGCTGTTCGGCTCCCACGTCACTTCCCCGCGCAACGCCAAGTTCACACGTGCCAGCTGCTGTGCAGAGATATTTGAATAAATCACAATTTCGCCAGACTTAAAGTCAAAGGAATGGACAAAAGCATAGGCCAGGAATTTAATGGGAGATTCATGCGGCTCCAAGAGCTGCAAATCTGCAGTGCAGCTCACTTCCTTCGGGCTTGTTTTTAAGTCTGCTTCACAAAGTGCAACCACTGTGCCAGTCAGCGTAGCTTCCACTTCTGAGTGCAGCAAATGTCCTGCCACCAGTCCGAAGTGTAGAAACTTCATTTGGACTCGCCATCGTGGCACCGTGGCGAAAAAATCCTGCATGGCCATAGCGGTGGCATGTCGACACGGATCCAAGTCCGGCTTGAAATGCCCAGCCATTCTGAGCCATCGCAGTTGCACAGCCAAAGGAGCCGTACTGCCACGAGGAACAGCAGATTCCACATCCACAAGAACTAAGGGTGCCTAAGGCTGACAGGGTAAGACAGGGATCAAAGATGACCAAAGTTTGATCCATGTTGATCCAGTGGATGTCTGTGATAATCCAGTTCTAAATGGGATACACCCGAAAGCACCACACGAAGAATGCGGAAACGGCGGGGAGAAAAGGGAAACTAAGAGGGGGCGAAAGGAATAGGTAGGGTTCTGTGATAATCCAGTTCTAAATGGGATACACCCCACTACAAGTTATATATTGAGCACTTACCAACTGGGATTTACATCCAAGTACCTTGCAAGAAGCTGTGTGTGTTTCCTGGTGCTTCCTTTGTACACATCACTGCCCACCAGGGATACAACATGATTCAACTCCTTCAACATTTCACAAACGTTTCTCTGGAAAAGGGCTATACTCCCCAAAAGAAACATACTGTATATAAAAATTGCATTCTATAATTAATTGGGAAAAGTGATGATTAATCATGATTAACCATTGAATTTTGGGGTACCCTATTTTCAACGAAACCCCCATGTTTGACTTCATGCACCTCAGGATTCACAATGGGCTGTCCATCTGGTCCCCGCTTGTGCCGTGCCAAGCCTCTCGCCAGTGGGCCGCATCTGGCCAAAACACTTCGCTGGAGCCTGCTGAAGGCCTTCTTTTCTTCAGGTTTCGACTCGTTTTCAGCGGCAGTTTCACCTGCTGTCCAAGAATAAATACGGTGTGGCAGCGCCAATGTTTGGCTATTTTAGGGGCAAAATATGGCAAAATGATGATAAACATTTAAGATATTTTAAGATAAACATAGATAAACACTGATCCTCAGCTTTTTTTCCCCCTGTGACAGTCACCCACCTCGTGACCTTTTGACTGGATCAGTTTGAAGGCGTACCACCAGCTGTGCTCCAACGGTAGCAACAATCTGCTGAAGCATTTCAAGGCCCAATCCTGACGCGTAGGGCGCAAAGCAGGAGAACTATGAGAACTGCTTGAAGCATCGACCACAGATTCCAAACAACCCCATCATCCACTAGATGATTCTGCTGGACATCAGAACACCGACAAAACCAGTATACATTCGCACTTCTCTATCCCATTTCATATAATTTCATGGCCTAAAATGCGCGTCTTCCTTCAAAAATGCTCGGAATTGGTGGCAAAATGGCTATGGGTCAAAACCAAAATAGTTGGTAAAGTGAGGTTAATCCAGCCAAAATATGGTACTTTCATGTACTTTCATACTATTCTCGTAGGTTTTGACCCACCGAAGTAGCTCAGAAGGGGCTCCTGTGACCCAGCCGTGAGAGTTCACCAACAGAGGTGCAGGCGTGACATCCTCTCTGATCATCTCGCAGTAGGCATCGAAGGCGGCGGCCACTGATGCAGTGTACAGGGCCGGATGGGTGGCCGGAGTGGCCGCACCAGCAAAGAAGGCTTGAATTCCTTGGCACAAAAGGCCCAAAGACTGGAGATCTTGATGAAGCTAAAAAAAACTAAAAATCTCAAGAGAGTGCCCTCAACTGGTAAAGGTAGGGATTCGCCTATGTTTGGACGTACCCTTTGTGATCTATCGTTGATTTCCTGACTCAAAAAGGGAATGTTGCCTAGCTACATTTCAAAGATAGGAGCCCGGCAAACCTGGTCGAATACCGGAAAGGTCCATCAACTTCTTGGTTGAAACATGAAGCTGGGAACTGGGAACCTGAAACATCCACAGGAAATGGTCAGTGAGTCAATATCATCAATGTCCCTATTAATCCTATTATAGTTGAGGAATGTTAAGGATGTGAAGGGACGCAAGTTGAGACATATTTCAGCCCTGCGACTTTCATGGCGGTGCTGTTCCGAGTGTGGCACTTGGAGCATCGGGCAGCGGATTCGATGCAAGGTGACAACTCCAGGGGGTCCCAACTCAGGCTGTCCCAGATCAGTCTCCAAAAAAAAAACTTCGGGGACTTGAAGAGACAGTAAGCTGTTGACCAAAAACCGGCAACAGGTGGATTTGCCCACTCCTTTGGCTCCCATGACCAGCAAAACTGCAGGGCTTTCTGGACTGGAGCTGTGAAGACAATGATCCACGAAGTGTTGCACAATGCTGGGCCATGCACGATGTGCGCGAAGTCTCGGCCTGGCATCTGGCGGAACAAGAACTTCTCTCATGGATTCCAGGCGTTCCTTCGGATCACTTGGACGATTCGCGTGACCGGCACCGGTGGCTCGTCGCAAGCACAGAACCACGGGCCATTTCCGGGCTTCCAGAAAAGCGCGGACTTCTGCTGTTTCCTTCTCCATTTCCACCTCATTGGACGATCGAAGTGCCAGAAGTCTTGGTGTCGCCGACCATGGAGGGACAACAATGCGCTGAAATTCATGGGAGAGTCGAGAGCCCCAGACCTCTGCAGCCCCGCGCAGAACTCGAATGTCCAGTGAACCAGTCAAGGTTAACTCTTCGCCAATTCGCAGTGGTAAAAGATAATCATCACCGTCACCGTCGTCCACCAGCACAAGTCTCTTGATGATTCGCTGGGATCGTCCTTGTTTTCGTCCACACCATGCTTTGTGGCTCATGTTTTTTCAAACCCATGTGTTGATGCGACCTAGTGCGAATTGTGAACTGTGAACTTCCATGGGGCAAAAACGCTTCGTCATGTTCTTGTATCTTGATGCTATTCCTGATACAAAGTATGTACAAATTGTGAAAAGTCATTCATGGGTTTCACTTGTCATTTTCTGGACTTCATCACTGTTGCTGTCTCCCAGAAACTACTTCATGTCATAATTCCGCTTTGTAGAGTTCAAACCGCATGTGAAGCAATAGCCTATGCTCGCAGCCAGTGAAGTCCTGCGGCATTTGAGCAGCTGACCACAAAGCTAAGCAAAGGTGGAAATGTAACAAGCACAGAGAACAACACACAGATTTCGGACACTGAGAGTCTGACATCAGTTTCCTGGTTTCGCAGAAAGACTGTGGATTGGTAGGGCAAAGGGCCGGAGCTGAGCTGTTGATTCACTCTGATACCGCAGCTTCTGTCTGTTGCAAATGTTCAAACTTGACGGGACAAAGAGCATGGGTCCACCTCTTCTTTTTTCGCGAGATTACAAAGCTTCCAATTCGGAACTTGAGTAGTAAAATTTCCATGTCATCTCCATGTCATATCGTCATATCGTCATATCCATGTCATATCCACAGTATCCACAGGCAGCAACCTCACCGACATCGCCTGAAGACATTGCATCGCCTTATCCGAAATGGCCCGGTACAGCTCCGGTGCATCGACACCCAGAGATGTCAGAGCCTGGTCCAGCCGCTGGTTCCAGTGTCCGTGGGGATTTTTAAGTATCCGTTGGATGGCCATGACAAACATAATACACAAACGTATATACTTATATACTTAGATATATATATATAATAATTATATAATTATACAATTATAATATATATATATTATGTATGTTTACATGGAGAGAGTCATAAACAAATATAAATACAAGTATAGTACCTCGGGATGTTCTGCATATGAGGGGTTTATACTTTGACGACGATGTCCCTTGGATTGCCTGACACAAAATCTGCCGGTTTGATCCCCATTTGCTCTTGACATGTCCCTTTCTTGACTGCAAAATCTCGATTTCTTGTACACCTATGTACACGTGGTGCATGTGTATCTATACACACATAGAGAGAGAGTGCGCGAGAATGACCCCCTCCAAAACAAAACTAAACAGAACAATCTAGATATGAACTACCATTTACAAAGCAGTTTTTCTTCACATTCGAAAATTGGGTCCGCCTGTGCCAGCTCCGCCAATTCAAGCAGCTGGAGCCGCTGCACGTGCGTGTCACAGCCTACGAGGCTGGAGTAGGCTGGAGCAATGGATCCGGGAAAAAATCCAAAGCGTTTGAAGGAAAAATCCATGAAAAATCCATGAAAATTCGATTGAAATGGGTTTATCTAAAAATGCAGCAACCTCAAA